CTTATCATAATGCTTTCAAGGTTCTGTCAGTCATATTATAGCATGACTATGCACTTCCTTTTTGTGGTGTGGAATGTTTTGTTTGCTTATTCATCACTTTATATATATTCCTACTTTTTGGGTAAGTACTTGTGCTTTATGAACAATCATACAAACTTTTGTGTGAATATGTTCTTATTTCTCTTGGTTGTATACCTTAGGAGAACTGCTGGATCTTGAAATCACTCCTTGTTTTTGAGGAACAGCCAGTGGTCACATCATAACATATCCCTACCAGAAATGTGTACAGGCTCCAATTTTGCTACAACTTTGTCAACATCTGTTATTGTCTTTAATTATCATTATTATATCAGCAGTGATACAGAGCGCTGAACCTCGAGGGGCAGAGCGCGCTCTCTCTCTCTCTCTCTGCTCTTGCTTCAGTGCCTCAGTTGCCAGATCTAGTAACATTCCTGATTACTGTTTCCCCTCCCTCTACTCTTCCCACTTCCTCCCCACCTTCCCTCCCACCAGGATCCACTCCCTTCCTGTCTCTCATTGGAAAGCAAATGGGCTCTAATGGCTTTCTAGAACCTTTCATTGGCCACTTCTTACAGATCTTAAGTCTCCCTTTGCAGCCCTTTATCTTCTGTGGTCCCAGCCCTTTGCCTAGTCTTCTTTCTCTGTTCTTCAGAGTCCTCTGCAGCCTCAGCTCTCCATGGTCTCTGCTCCCAGCTACTCTCTGGTGTTCTTCAGGTACCTTTTGGCTGCTGTTGCTAAATGTACCTGGGGACTGTTACTTCCAAATTGTCCGTTCTCCATGTTGCCAGTTCAACCCACTCTACCCATGATAAAGACCACGGGTGGGTGATAAAGCAGTGGAATGGATTCTAGCATCAGGAGGGAAGGCACGGAGAGAGAGAACTGCCAACGTTCTCCAAAGAGAGTGAGAGGGTCATTACTTTCGTGGTTTGCTACACTGCACTGAGCAGTCACGGGTGACGGAGCTGCTTCTCCCTGACCACAGAGGACAGCTGCGATAGACCAGTATCTCTGGGCAACCCCATGAACTCAGGGACTAACTAGTCAGCCGTAGTATTTCAGATCTGGACTTTGTTCCTGTCTGCCCTGGAGCAGATATGGGTTCCTGCTGGGAGGCTGCCAAGGCTACAAGGCACATGGTTAATAGCTGTCAGTCAAACAGCTCTTGCCTGGCAACTTTTGTCACTCTGAGTGTTTGTGATATACAGTGACACTGAGAACCATTAGTTTGGTTAGACTTAAATTCAGCCATAATGTAAGACCATACACAAGACAGTTCATTTTTCCCACCTAGTAGGAACCTGCCCAGCATACTCAGTCAGGATTGGTCTGATACCAAGCTTAGGGCTGGGAACTGGACCCCTTGCTTTCCATGGCTTGCATTTTCTCCAAGTCATCCTGTTACCTAGCGATTTATGCAAAACGATGCCTGCATTCCAGCTAACAAGGATCTGGAGGGTGGAACAAATACCAGCAGCTATCCTTTCAGCAATCATGAAAATTCACTGCTTTTACTTAATCCCGTGGACCTAAACTGGGACTGTGGCCATGGCCTGCTGCAACAGAATCTGGGGAAAGTGTCTTTATTCTGCAGAGCTAACTCATGATGGCTTTTTTTTTTTTTTTTTTTTTTTTTTGGTTTTTCGAGACAGGGTTTCTCTGTGTAGCTTTGTGCCTTTCCTGGAACTCGCTTTGGAGACCAGGCTGGCCTCGAACTCACAGAGATCCACCTGCCTCTGCCTCCCAAGTGCTGGGATTAAAGGCGTGCGTCACCACCGCCCGGCACTCATGATGGTTTTTTAATGACAGAGGAGTTAGAAAAGTAGAGTGGTCAGGGATTAACATCCAAAAAACTCAGCAAGGAGAGAATTTTACTTATTTTCTCCATTTACTTTAAATAAGAAGCTTAGACACACTTTCCCCTAAGATTCTAGATCCTATAATAAGGTGACTAACACAGGGGTTCTCAAACCTGACTCTCCAGAGGACATCTGAGGCTCTAAAAACTACTGATGCCACCAGGTATGGTGGCTCATGACTGTAACGTAGCATTCAGGAGGCTGAGATGGGAGTAGTCCATGTTCAAGGCCATCCTGAACTATATATCTCAAGGAAGCAAAGCAACAAACTACCAATGCCTGCCTGGCTTCCACACCCAGTCTTTCTGGTTTAAATGCTGTAGATAAGGATTTGGACATCAGACTACTGAAGGTGCCCGGCAGTGGTTCTGATGTGTAGCAACCCTGGGCAATCACTGGGCTAATGATAGGAAACACTCCTAATTCTTGCCTTTAATTCCATCAGGTTATCTTCTACCCAAGACCCACTGACACAGGTTAAATCTTCGACAGTTTAGTCCATGGAAGGCCTCTTCCTTTTTCCTCTGCAGTTGAAACTCACGCACCGGGGCTAGTGTATGTCACTGGTAAATGTGATTAGGTATGGTCAGGGTAAAGCTATCCCTAGCCTTGCACAAGAGTAATAAAGACAATTCAGAGGGCAAGTCCTGTTCTCAAGAACCATTTTCAGGCATAAAGGAAAACAGTTTCAAGTAGTTATATTCCCATGTGGCATGAAAATAGCTATTCTGGTGTGTGTGTGTGTGTGTGTGTGTGTGTGTGTGTGCAGCCGAGTTCAGACACCATGGTGAATCATCCTTAATATGGTATGAACATTTCAAATACAGAAACCTATTTAAATTAAATGTGAATGGCCCTCTCTATTTGGTAGTGCGCTTGTCATCTAGAAGCTCAAAATAGCCTTTCCAAGATCTGAGCAGTCTGTGCTAGAGGCATCTCAGCCCATTACTAGCTGTCAGATATTTTATCCATTCAAGCAGATAGGCAGGCAGGGGTTAGGTTTTCTCTGAATTGTTAATGCAGAGGCCCGTCTTTTAAGCGGAGGCATGAAATGAGACAAGGGGTAAAATACGGAATTTTCAAAGCAAACTAGACAGGTCACTTCATGGACCTCTTCACCTTCATACAGAATGGCGTTAGAACAGTCTCGGCAGATGAAAATCTACACTGTTTTTTTTTTACGGCTCTTCAGTGACAGGACTGTGCTACGGGGTTCTCTCCACACCACGTCTCTTTGCAGCCATTTGCAGCTGGGAAATTTTCCTTTGCATCTAACCCAAGGGCTCCGACCCCACTCCTCCCACTCCCTTCTCGCTGCTCTTCAGGTCAGAGCGACAACAGCATTCTGACTGGATTTTTCTCACACACTTGAAAGCTGCAATTCGATAAATCAGGTTACTCTCCCACCCCAATCACATTCCTTCACACCTCCCTCTGAGAATTGTTTTTAAATGTAATCATTTTCACGGCAGTCTTCTCGTAACTCGGGGTTCTCCAAACTCGTCTGTTTATTAGAATCATCTGGGGCGCATCAAAAACCGTGGCTCCTGCCCCGCTACCATCCATGGTGAATTAGTATCTGGGAATTCTTATGGATTCCCAAATGCTCCAAAAATGCAGACAGGTCTGGATATCACAGTCAGAAGTCACGGCCCATTACTTTCTTCCTTCCTTCTTACTAATAGAATCTTAATACCAGAAAAAGGGCAGTGGTTTGCCTAAACTAATGGCTCCCATTTCCCGCCATACTTGAAATCATGTTTGACAACAAGGATGCTCGAACTCCATAAATGAATGAAATCAGCATATCTGGTAGTAGGACCCAGGGACTCTACCTTTCAGTGCTCGCCTGGGGCTGGGGAGATGGCTTGGTCTGTTAAGTGTTTGCTATGCAGGCGTGAGGACCTGAATTTAATCCCCACTCCCAATGTTAAAAAAAGAAGAAGAAGAAGAAGTTGGCTGGTGGTGGCGAAAAGTCTTTGTCCCAGCACTCAAGAAGCAGAGGCCGAGGCAGAAGGCTCTCAGTGAGTTCCAGGTCAGCCTGGTCCACATAGTGCGTTACAAGACATCCAGGGCTATGTTGAGAGAGACCCTGTGTCAAAAATGAAAAGTGAAAAGAAGAGAGACAGAAGAAAAGAAAGAAAAGCCGAGCATCGCCAGCACACGCTGTCATCCTAGTGCCGAGGAGGAGGCAGAGAAAGGAAGCTCTCCAGTGCTTTCTGGCCAGTCAGTCTAGCCAAATTGGTGGGCTCTAGGTTCAGTAAGAGACGCCCCATTTTAAAATTTAGAAAAAAAAGTAGAAAGTAATAGAAGTATGACACTGACCTTTAGGCTTCCACGTTACCAACACACACACACACACACACACACACACCTGTTGTGGGATATTTGTACAGTGTGTAAGGGTGTATTGCTGTGATTGGTATAATAAAAAGCTGACCAGCCGGTAGCTAGGCAGTAGGTATAAGCAGGATTTCCCCGGAGAGAAAAGAGGAGGAGGAATGGGGGGGGGGATCAGACATACAGAATGAAAGAAAGGTAAAAAGTTACAAGGCAAAATGTAGATTAATATAAATGCGCTAATTTAAGTTATAAGAGCTAGTGGGACAAGCCTAGCTTTCATAATTAATGATAAGTCTCCAAGTTGTTATTTGCAGGCTGGCGGTCCAGACGAGAATATTACACACTCCAGAAACCACATGTGGTGGGGCATGTAATCCCAGTCAGTACTCAGGAGGTAAGACAGAGACTCAGGAGTTCAGGGCCAGCCTGGGCTACATGAGACTGTCTCACCACCTGCGTCCTCCCTGTGCTCCCCAAAATGCTCTCCACATATCTACCTAATCTACTCTGGAGAAAGGCATTAGTGGAAGTTAGTGGTTCTCAAATTGTTCTCCTAAGACCCGCAGCAGCACAATATATGAATGTCACCTAATCTGAATTCTTAGGTCCTAACCTAGGCTTGCTAAATTGGCGCGTCCAGGAGGTGGAGCCCAGTTATCTGTGTTTGAACAAGCCCTCCAGGGAATTGCGAGGCTTATATTATAAACAGGTGGTCATGTGGCTTTTATTTAGCCAATGAGGTTTATGAGAGGTTGTCTCGGAAAAAGCAGTTGTGGCAAGACTTTCCCTGTCCCGGTACCAAGCAGCCGAGATCAGAGAGGGCCGACCGTGCACTTCAGCTTCTTTCTGAGGCTCTTGAAGGTAGATGAGCCCTGGAAATAGCCGTCCCATGGAGACCAAGAAACAGACAGCCGAGGAAAGTCTAAGAGAATACCAAGATGTTGACTGTTATCTGTAGTGAAGGCCACCCAGGCTTCAGAAAACAAAACTCTAATTGTATAAACCAATATCCAGGGATTATATTTTACTTAGAGGTAAACACAATCCTATATTGAGAATTCAATCTGGAAATACCTAATTCCAAGGGGAATCTCTGCCCTGGATCATTTGTCCACTGGACACAGAGTCACCTGGGACGAGGGAACCTCCGTTAAGGAATTGCCTCCATCAGATTGGTCTGTGGGCGTGTCTGAGGGATAGTTTCTGAACTGCTAATAGGTGTAGGAGGGCCCAGCCCACTGTGTGGTGCTCTCCCTGGGCAAACATGCCTGGGTTCTGTAAGAAAAACAGCTGAGCAAGCCAGGAAGCAGTACGACTTCATGGTCTCTGTTTCAGTTTCTGCCTCAAGTTCCTGCCTTGGCTTCCCTGGTGATGGACTGTCACCTATAAGTCAAATAATTCCCCTTCCCTCCCCAAGTTTGTTTTGAGCAGTTCTTTTTTTTTTTTTAAATCGCGGTACCAGAAATCATACCAGAACAATCACCTTCCAATTGTGTTATTCTAAACACTGCACCAACGGCTTCCAAACCTGACTGCATATTTAAGTGATGAAGCTTACATGGAACAATGCCAGAACCACACCCCAACTGTACTGAATCGGAATCTCCCAGACTTGGGCTATGAGACACTCCAGAGTCATACGATGATAATTTTGTCCTCAGCTGACCCCAAGCCACGCTCTGTCTGAGGCAAAGGTGGAAAAATTGAGGAAGCACCCATTTTCGTGGCTGTGTGAGGGTAGAGTCGGTAGCTGCATCTCCTGAGAGTGAGTGCTGCCTTAATCTTGCAACCTAAGCACCTCATTTTGGTCTCATCCAGTCTCTGTTCCAATTCAAAATAACACAAATTTAACAAGTAGCGCCTGTCATTTGTCATGACATGGAAGCCAAGCCAAATAATCTTTTACAAAATATGATACACTAAGCAACCGGTTTTCCTTTTTTTAAGCATTGGTTCCAACATCATAAAGACATAGCCTCGGCTCTATAAATTATGCAACTTGTAGTTTGTTTTCAATTTAGGGCTTGTGGGTGGGAGGGCCAATGCCATCAGTTCCCTTCTGAGTGGAAAACTAACGGTAGCACTGGCTGGCTCAGCCCCTAGTCACCCACATGAAACAGGGATGTGATCCTGCAAGAGAGGAATTTAATTAGGTGAGTCGACAGATGTCAGATAGAGGCATGTTGGTGGCAGAATCCAAGACCAAAGCCCTCATGGAGAAGCTAAGGAGCCCAGCACCTGTTTCTTGAAGTGAAAGTGAAAAGTAGTGTAGGTGTTTGTGAAAATACGTGCCAGGGCTTGGTTACTGCTGCTTCCCCAAGCATTTGAGGTTCCTGTATGCTACAGTCTACCAGAAATAGAACTGAGGATGACTTAAGCCAAAATCATGGCTTCTACACCCTGCTCGTATTGAACAATACATAGGCAGAATGCGCACAGAAGAATCGCAGCCTAACATTCTGGAGACTCATGAGAATGTGTTGCAAGGGTAGGCAGGTAGAGAGGTTGCTGGCCTGGCAGACGAAGGAGGCCTACATAAGGCTTTCTTTCCATGAAGCTGTCCAGGATGACCCCTAGAGACAAACCGGTTTAATACCAGGTTTGTGGCTCTTGCTTTTGATTTTATGGTCTCTTAGGTACCATGCAGGGAAAGACAAATTTGGTAAACAATAAGTGTCCTGTCCTCACACCCTCCTTCTGTAAAAGTAGAAGCAGAGTACTGCTCGTCTAGTGTGACCAATGACTACCCTAGAATGAAGCAGATATTATACATATGGTCGCCGAAGTAAGGGCCAGTAATGCCTCGCGTATGCTAGCAACCTGGCTGCCTCCTTCCGTGTGCGTCATTGTGCCTCAGACTTATGGCAGCAGGCACACATATTCTGCATCTTGCTGTCGGGAGGGCATTAGGAGGAGCCCTACCTGTGGTCTGGAAGCTGCTTCCGTATCTCATTTTCTGTCAGTTTCAAAGCAGGGAAGGTGGCACCCAACAGCAGCTGATCTCCTACAACTGGATTGAATCAACACTCAGTTATGTCAAAGGGCTTGGAAGGAGTACAGGTGTGTTTGCCAGTCAGCATGATTGAGAACCCACACTTTGTGCCAGAGTTCACCTCTCAGACTGGCCAGGGTGCCCGGGCACATCTGCTGTGCGCCTGCTATTTTGTGGCTTAAGTAGGTCTTGCTGGCAAAGCCATGGTCCCTTAACACAAAGACGCTTTTACAAGACACTCGGAAGTAGGAAGGGAGGAGAGGACGTGATGTCTGGGATTTAACATATTTGAATGTCAAGGCTGCAGCAAGATCATGATGAAGAAGAGGAAGAGGGAGAAAGGAGCCAAATAAAGTTAATATGGCAAAATTCTGATGGTTGTTGAATCTGGGTACTGAATAAATAGATTTTTCTATTAGTTAAGTTTGGTTATCCTAGTCTAATTTAGGGTCATTGGATTATTCTGTTCTTTCTCATTTTCTTTGTTTGTGCAATTTTATAAGTAAAGTTTTAAAATTACAATCAATCATTATAAGGCTTATGAGCCTTAGGGAAAAAGTTAGCGTCTGCCTCTGTATACGCCTCATTTCTTTTAGGTAACAGCAAGTACTAACAAGCCGGAACTGTGCGGGATTTTACTTAGACTGTCCATCCCACCCAGCCCCACATACCGTACTTATTTGGGGGCAGGGGGCAACTTTTATTTTCCAGTGAACCCATGGCAGAACCAGGACTCGGGAAATCTGAGTACAAATTCTGATTTGTTAATTGACAGTGAGACCTCACGTCTCCTACCTCCTTTCCTTCTCCTATAAAATGGGGGTGACTCATTAATAATACCAGCCTCATGGGGTATTGGGGATCCACATGAAGTCAGTGCCCTGTGAAAGGATAAGGCTCTATGTTAATACCAGGAGTATCACCATGGAGTAGGCAACGAGATGTTACAGTCTCAGTCTATAAGATGAGGAGAGAAATTACAGTGGGGTCTTATAGCTATTTGGGAACCACCCTGGAGGGGTGATAAAACTCAAATTCAGGGCAGTGGCTCAGTTGCTAGGGGGCTTTCTTGGCATGGGCCAAGCTCTGGATTAGATGCCCAGCACTACTGCATAAGCCAGGTGTGGTGGCTCCACCTATAATCTCATGGTGTGGGAAGTGGGAGGCCAAACAATAGAAGTTCAAGGTCATCCTTAACTACACAGCAATGTGAAGCCATCCGGAGCCACACGAGTCTCTGCTTCAAAATAAAATACAATTCAGATTCCAGGTCCTCTGACACCCTGCTGAGTGAGGATTCCCGGGGCTGTGGTGTTGCAAACCTGTGCAGTTGACTCTGTACTGAGTCTAGAAGGGGGCATCTGATATTAGACTTCGGAGAATGCCTTTTACTTGTAACAGCTAAAATACCTAGGGATTGAGAATATGTCCCAGCTTATTTTGACAGCTAGGTACTGTTCACAGATTTGGGCTAATTTCTTGGTGAGGAATGGTCCAAAATAAATTAAGGGGAGAGACCCAAACCTTGCCTGGTGGCCAGAGGTCTGGAGAATATAGTGGGCCAGTTGATCTGTGATCATATGGCTTCTATGTAAAATTGACTGATGAGAGGATTCCCCAAGATGTCTAAAGAGCTTAGAGAAAGAGTAGGAATGGACTCCAATGAGAGTGCAGCACCTGTAACTTCTGTAGGCTGGAGGACCCTGGCCCTGTAACTCTGTAGGCTGGAGGACCCTGGCCCTGTAACTCTGTAGGCTGGAGGACCCTGGCCCTGTAACTC